TAACATGCAATAACTGCCCAGAATTCTACATTGGAGAAACAGAAAGAAAATTGGAAACCAGATTGACAGAACACAATAAAAGACCATCCCATGTTTTTCACCATTGCAACCATCTTAATTGAACAAAACAACCCTACTCTAAACCAACATGCCTAGATACCTCTTCTAACTTTCGCAACAGTTCCGGTCATGTGACTTCTTTGTTCAATACTGTATATATATATCCAGTAGCAGTGTAAATTACCTGTACCTGATGATGATAAAACCTTGTCGAAACGTTGTACATTTGCTGTTATGTTAAACTTATATTAAAGTTTTTCTTCATTACCCATTCAAGCCGTCTCCAGCCATTATTACTTAACATTTTGTTATTCAATAACAAAAGATAATAACGTTGATTTTGAACGTGTAATTTTAAACGCGATTTCACCCTATTCCTCAGGCACAAAGCAAACTGGCTCTGTATATAATTACCTTAAAAGACACGAAGTTTTATTTAAAGCGATGCTATTATATATCGTTACTCGAATTGCTATTGTTTATCGTTACTCGAGTTTTCTGTCTCTAAGTAGATTTCCACAATTATATTTCAGAACGTTTTGAACAGTGAACGATTAACATAGATTTGCGTACTCAGACGACGTTGGTGAGTCTTTCTACTGTTTCTTATATTTAGCTGAAATCGTAAGTGCGTATTCAGCATTTACTACCACTCCATATAGCACTACTTCACATGTTGTCGATAATTTGTGATTTACGCTAAGTTTGTCACTGTTGTCTGTTTTGTATGCCTTATTTGTGTCGCCTTATTCTAGCAAACACTTGTGTACAGCAGGCTGTTAAAGAACATACAAGTGTTGTCGACATATTTATGAAGTGCGGTTAAGAGCAGCATTTGTGTTTCGATGTGTATCATAAATGTTAAAAATTGTATTTTGATTATAAATATATATTTTTTTACAGGATTGAAAATTCTGGCCTATATGCCAGTAAAGAAGAATACAGGTTCAAGTTTAGGGACATTTGGATACAGGATTGTAATACACTCTCCAGATATTATTCCAAATGTGGAGAATGACGGCTTAGACATCGTCCCAGGATCGGTGACACACGTTGCACTTGAACAGGTTTTATTATTTATGCATACATTTGTAGAAATCTCATAAATGACTTTTACATCTTTTATTATAATACAAATTATATCCTACGTTAACTACTATGTGATCCCTAACACGTCTTGTTCAACCTTGTTTGTTATTATTATGCTTAATGACGACTGTAACTTTAGAAAACTTAAAAAAAAAATTATGTTATCTTAAAACGTTTAAAGATACAAAAACTCAAACGTTTTAGATGAACATAAAACACACACCGCAACAGGGTCGCTCTGGTTTGAGAATCAAGGAACCAGCTGAGTGTAAAAATAGGTTTACAGATTTTCTGTATTTCTTTTTTTTTTACTTGGAATTGATCCAGCTAACTGTAGGATACTTTCACGGATTAATGTTTTCCTGATCTTTTAACTCGGAGTTCTATCTCCTCGGATAACACAATGAAAAAGGTTCATTTTGCTTAAGGTAAAAGTAAATAAATAAAAATAACTTTTATCCCCATGATAAAAAAAAAAGGTTTTCATACCAGAAAGTTCAGTTGATTTGGCAGCTATAAGAACCCCAATGTTTAGGGGACATTTTACCCCGATATAAGGAAAAGAGGCCTGTTTGGTGTGGTTTGGAGAATAATGTATAAGAGACAAGGCGATCAACGAGAATAATACAAAAATAGGAGGGAGATGTGAGAGGGGATGGATAAACGGAGAGAGAGGTGGAAGGAAAATTTGCTGCCAATAAGAATCAAAATTAATTCTAAGCCCAATTATCTTATGGGTTATTGTTATAGTGATTGACAGAATTAGAAATTTGTTATTTGAAATTGTTAAACTTCCTTTGGCTCACCTTGATAACGACACTATATATCTATCTCTCGTTCCCCAGTGGCACAGCAGAAAGTCTTCGGAGTTATATTGCTAAAAACCGGGTTTCGATACCAGTAATGGGCACAGCACAGCACAGATAGCCCATTGTGTAGCTATGTGCTAATAAACCCTCTCTCTTTGTATATATATGTGTGTGTTTCAAGTTTGAGTACAGTTTGTGAATCAAGCTAGCTCAATATGATGTACATAGTATATTATTTGGTCTTCAGAGCTCCAGCAAGAAACAAAGTGTAACAGTTTTGATATAATTAAACATGTTTCCTCTATCTCACTGAGCTTTGTGTATCTGCACATAATCTTTAATGAATTTGTTAATAGATAGATAGATATGTGTGTGTACATGTTACAACGATATTTTGCTTTACAATCTAATCACAACTTTACAATTATTCGTAAAAGTAATCAAGATAAGAAAGATAATACTGTTTAAAATAAAATTTTACATATATCATACGTGCCCAAGTATTTCAAATTTAATGAAATATTTAACTACATGTTAAGTGTAGCAAAACTTGATATTTGGAACGCATTAAAATAATATTTTTCTTCTTTTTGTTTTCTAACTGATCATTTTCCGCCGTCTGCCGGAGCCCTTTGGCGACAGTTGTGGCATGAAAAACATAACCCGCAATGGAGCATACGACAGAGAAGTGAGTAAACTGTGATAATTATCTGTGTTAGTACATAAATACCATATTTATAGCAATTCTTTGAGCTTTCTTAAAATGGTGTCAAAGGTGCTCTCGCACGCTGTGTGTTCTTCATACTGTAAAATACTTTCTGAAATTTTTAGGATAACCCTGTTCCTAGTATCGTGTTTTAAAATTGTATAGGGAAAAGTAACTGATAAAACAAAGGTCAAAGTTCAATTAAATAAAACAATTTAAATAAGAAATAAAATTAAAGAAAAACGGAGTGTTGAAAACAGAATTTTAAACAGTTGTACACTGAACAACAAGAGCGATTTAAAGTATAAATTACGTTCGTTATAATTAAAATAAAAAGAAAAGCCACAAGAAATACACGATATGAATGTAATATGTTTTCGCTGGGGGAATTTGATAGTTAATTGGCAAAAAAGAAAAAATCAATCTATGAAACCGGTATCATTAAATACAATAAAATATATTTAAAAATATGAAAATTAGAAAAATAGGTTAATGAAAAAAGGTTATTATCCAGATTTTATGTCTTTAGTTTAGTGCAATAAAATATGTTTATACGTGTTCTATTGGCCCTAACTTATGCAATATGATGATGATGTACGCTACTTGGTGAGCTAACTTCTGATAAAAATCTAACATTGTTATATCTGTCATTAGTTATGTCTTCAATTCTGCGCACAACTATTGAACAATGAAACTTGCGGGTGTGGTGACCCAACAGCACCACTTCCTGATGGTGTACAACCTTGTATTCTTAATAATAATTCATCAAGTAAGTTGGAAAAACTGAAGTTTTCTCCCTAAGAATAATTTGTAATAAAACAATATTCAAAAATGACTTACATTTTACATTTGAATTAAGAACATTTTGACAGTATATTTGATTTTATTATTTAATCGGAAAGTATAATATCTATTATTTATATCTCCAGTCACTACTACGTTAATAATTTCAGTCTGTAGTCCAAATAATTATAGATAATCTAATTATAATAATCACCAAGTAAATTAGAATGGAAAAATCATGCATAAAATCTAGTTACATTTAGAACATATTTTCTTCTTTCTTATTAAAACAAATTGGTCGAGTTTCAACTTGCTTACTTACTAGCAAGAAAGAGGACAGTCGCAGTTCTGCTCACCAGCATGTATACGCTCTCTCACCGTGTTCAGGCAACAAACTATTAGGTATAGTGAAAAGTTAGGTTTAAGTACACAAATTTTGAAAGCCAGTTAAGGTACCAATTATTTATCCAACAAATCATAAGCCGCAAACAAATGTGTTTCTCATTCGTTTCAAACATATTAAGTAGTTAATCGTTTTATGCAACTACTGTGCTGAAATTCATATCTGATACCAGCAAACAACGAGTTTTTTAGGTTTTCTACTGTCTGATAATATAATAAAACGTTCACTTATTTTTTTAGAAAAATTAGTATTATTCTTTCATACCTAATCGATATTACTTAATTCTAGACGTTGTTGCATTTAGTTTGTTTGTTTGTTTTGAATTTCGCGC